TTTCCAGATGAAGAAAAACAGTTTACTGCCGGAAACCTACACTGCGTATTATTTAGGCCAAAGAAAAATGATCTCAGGCAGAGATGGGGAATGAAGAACAACAGAAAATATCAGTGAGCAGGTGGGTCATGTGGACCTTGACTGTGTAAAACCGTAATAACTGTGCCTTTGGGAGGTTTAAGAAATGTGTAATGTTAAAACGTATGACAACAAAAACACAATACCAGAGAAGGAATAGGATTAAAGTCTTTTAAGGCTGCCGTGTGGTCTGAAAAGTAGTCGAAAATACACACTTATAAAATGGCTCATAATTTAAGTAGGCGTGTTGTAACCTCTGGGGTATCCATTAAAAGTAAAGAAAAAATGTGTAACTAAGAAGTTAAGAGGAAAAGTAGAATAATAAAGAAATGCTTTATGAACAAGAAAGGAAAGGGGGAAGATAACAGATAGGACAAATACAAAACAAATAATAAGACGGCCAAATACACGGGTAATGACGTTAACAATGTAACCACACTGAAATTCTCTAGTTAAATGACAAAAACTGTCAGAATAGATTTTTTAAAAGCTTGACTATATGCTCCTTACAAAAGACTTTCTTGAAATAAAGCCACAGAAAAGAATCAAAGTAAAAGGATGGAAAAAAAGAGAGAACATAAAATTGGGAAGGCTGTGTTAGGTTTTTGTTTTGTTTTGTTTTTTAAAGAGTTTCGGCAAAGTCCCAGTAACTTCTAAACTATTGTCCCACTGCTTTACTGCTTCTCCCAAAAGCTCATGACCAGGAAGGAAAGAATTCAGACGATTCTGGAAGGCTGGGTTCAGTTTTGATGTTGAACTTGAAAGAAGAGCAAACTGAAAAACCCAGCTCATACCTCAGAGAAGGAAAGAGTCGGGGAGGTCAATGAATACATAAAACTGATATATCCAGACAACTGAATATTATTTGGTGCTTAAAACAAATGAGCATTCAAGTCATAAACAGACACAGAGGAAGCTTAAATGCATATGACTGAGTGAAAAAAGCCAACCTGAAAAGGCTACACACTCTATGATTCCAACTATATGACATTCTGAAAAAGGCAAAACTGTAAGAGACAAGGAAAAGGTTAGTGGTTGATGTGGGAGAGAGGTGGGTAATGGGGAAGAGAGAAATAGGGAAAGCATAGAGGATTTTTTGAGCAGTAAAAGTATTCTGTATGATAGTATAGTGATGGACATATGTCATTATACATTTGTCCAAATCCATAGCACATGTACGACACCAAGAGTGAACCCTATGGTAAACTATGGACTTTGGGTAATTATGATGTGTCAATGCAGGTTCACTCTTGGTAAAACTGTACTATTCTGGTGAGTGAGATTGATAACGGGTGAGCCTGTGCATGTGTGAGGGGAGGGGTTGAGGCTGTGCATGTGTGAGGGGAGGGAGTATACAGGAAACTCTGTAACATCCCTCTCAATTTTGTTTTAAACCTAAACCTGCTCTAAAAACTTGTTTAAAAAAAAATGCAAAGAACAGTACACCAAAAAGTAAATTTTACTGTATAATTTGTTATCCATAAATTTTTTTTTAAAGTAAGACTCTGGATGTGTTTAACTCAAAAATGGCTAATAGGCCACCATGGTTAATAATGGACCAGCTGTCCCTGAGAGAGGTAACTAAAGGGAACACTGGGGCTAATCCTTCGAGTGGAACATAACATAGGTGTTCTCAGGCTCATGAATAGGAAAAAACATTAACCATTTTAAACACACACACGGAGTCATTTTTGCATATTATGAGCCCATTAACTCCTGGGGCAAAGTCTCAAATTGTCAGCAGTACCACCGTACACGCAGAATACAGGTCCACTAGAAAATGGAAACTAGGTCTCAATTATGCCCCCTGCGTTTTGATTCTCTTGTTTGACTCCACAAATCTCAGAGATAAACTATAAGCAAACTGTGCAATCAATAATAGCTGGCAGCCAGAAATCCATGCTCGTTGGCTGCTAAAATTAGGGCAAGAGCTGGGTCCACAACACTGCCAGACAATGATGGACATGATTAAAACATGGAACAAGAAGCTTAATACCGCCTTCTCAGCCTCCATCCTAACATGCAGGTTACACTAGAACCAAGAAGAAGGCTACAAGATATCTTGATGTCACTGTTTCTTACAAAATAAACAACAAAAAATAGATACTAGAATCTTTTGTATATGGAGGAGATAAGAGGAAGGAAAAAACTAAAAGGAACAGGAGCTTGGCACTTGGGGACTAAGGGTTTTGGTCTCTTATTCATTGACCCAGTGATTTTTGCTATAATCACTCTCCCTGACATGTAGTCTCCTCCATGGAGTCTGCACCTTTGGCCCACTTTTCCCAGCACCTAGGACAGTGCCTGGAATAAAGCAGGTACTCCATAAACATTGATGAAACTCAATGGTACTGTAAGAGAAACATACCAACGTCATTTGGTATAGACAATATTCTACCACCATCATTACCACCATTAAGAAGTACCTTAAAGACTAGGCCCAAATTCTAAGTGATTGCTGAGTGTACACAGAGAGAGGAGACAGATCTGCAGAACCCGAAAGTAAAGTATGTTTTAGGCAAATATGACCCAACATAGCAAACCTCAGCCAGTCCTCAAGGAAGAATGGATGGCGCGTAAACCCCTGTCTGCTTCTCCTCAATTAAAATGAGGATGGTTCCGTCTTTTAATTCAGCACAGTAAAACAAAGCCCTACCTATCTTTCCTCGTGGGCCTTTTCAGCTGTCATTTAAAAAAATGTTTTAAACCACAAAAGTAATGTTTTCATTATAGAAAATAATTTTTAAAAAATCACTGCTAATTCAACCACCTAGATTTAATAATATTAACATGTATGCATTTTCCTATGTTTATATTTGTTTTTTCTAATGACAAACCTTTGAACCTTTAACAATACATCACGAACCCTTAACAATACATCATGATCATCCTTCCACCTTATTGAATATTCCATTGAACCGACATCAATTACATTTTCTCTTTTTGGAGGAACATCGCATCGATTACATTTTCTCTTTTTTGGAGGCATTATCAAGGCGATCCAGTGGCTTATTCGCAAGCATCTAAATCCTTCTTCAAATCTTCTGCTCGCCCTAGCAGTTCTTTCCTTAAAGCCAGCACTCCAAGGAAGCACGATAATGTTTTTTTTGTTTTGTTTTTCTTTGTTTTTTTTTTTGCGGTACGCGGGCCTCTCACTGTTGTGGCCTCTCCCGTTGCGGAGCACAGGCTCCGGACGCGCAGGCTCAGCGGCCATGGCTCACGGGTCCAGCCGCTCCGCGGCATGTGGGATCTTCCCGGCCCGGGGCACGAACCCGTGTGCCCTGCATCGGCAGGCGGACTCTCAACCACTGCGCCACCAGGGAAGCCCCACAATAATGTTTTGCCTCTTGAGATCCTTTGTTTGAACTGCAGCCATTTTATTCAATTGGGGGCCAAGCATCTCCCCTCTCCTTTCCCCAAATCCAGCTACTCAAAGCCTCGTTTTAGTTGTGAACCATACTTAATTGAGATCATTTCGCAGAAAGTCACAAGACACTGGTGTGTACCTTTGAATAATTACCCCCGACTCTATTAGTAAGTCTCTTTTCTGAAATTCCACATTTCAAAAAAGTTAAAAATACACCAGGGGCTTTAAAGACTACCTTTAAAGTCAATTAGCACCGATGAACTTTTATCTAGTCACTTAGATAAAAGATCCACCTGATGAATGTTTATTTCAATAATGAAGAAACACTACACTGTTAGTATAGAAAGATAAAGGCACTTGGACTTCTTAAATGTATAAAACTGAGTCCCTTGATACACAACTGTGGTACAGAATGATAGTAGATTAGAGTGGACAGGGGGAACATCTCTCCCTTGCACTTTTAGGTAATGAGTTTGGACCACTGGAAAAGAACACAGGCTGAATTGCCTTTTAAATTTTAAGTGGGTTTTATCAAGGCCCAAGGGCAGCGTTTTTCCTTTGGGAACACGTTACAAAACTTCAATCGAAGTCTAAGAAATATGATTCAATGGCCGAATTTGTATTTAATTCACGGCCTTTCAGGGAAGCACCTTATGATTAAGGAAAGGCTAAGTAAAATGAGTTACATCATGACCATAACTACAATTTACAGAACACCTTCAATGTGTCAGGCATTTTATATACTTTATTTCCAGTCTTAATTAACCCTATAAACCTGGCTTACAACGGAGAGAACAGAGGCAGAGAAAGTTGAAGTAATGTTGGTCACCCAGCTAGTAAGTGTCAGAGCCAGGATGCCTATGCAGTGCTGTCTGACTCCAAAGCCAGGGCTCATGGACCAACGATTATAAATAAATCACACTCCGGGGTCCCCTCAGTTTCATCTGAGGCACTGATTGGACAAGCCCAAGAAGAAATATCAATCCTATTACTAAATACTGCCAGTACCACCTGCATCCTTGCGGGTACTCAGGAGTAAGACAGAGCGTTCTGAAACCACATCACAGAAAATATCGTCTGGAAGGGAAAGGGAATAGAAAAAAGTCTTCCTTCTTGCTTTTGTTCAAAATGTGTTATGCAACATGAAACTGTAAATTGGGTAACAAGGAATAGATCTAGCCATACAGTCTGATGACAGAATCCACTCCAAAGGCAAAGATTCTCAAGTTTGCACATTAGAATCACTTGGAGAGCTTTTAAAAATACTGATTCCTAAAAATGCTGGTTCCTAGTCCTGTCCCTAGAGATTCTACAGTGACTGGTCTACAGTGGGGTCCAAATACCAAAATTTTTAAAAAGTTCTCTAGATGATTAATGGAAAACCATTGAGAAGTACTGCCCTAGAAGAGGGGTGTGTGTGTGCGTGAGTGAGACAGAGAGACAGAACCTAGACACCGACTCTCAGTTCTTTCTCCTTATTACATATACCTGGTAAAGTCTGGAGCACAGGGACCTAAAGGTTAGTGGGAAAGACAGACAATCCGGGCTGCATTACCTGGGCTGTATCTTCCATCAGGCCACGGATCTTCTCCACGACATCGTTGCGCCGGTGCTGGCGCAGGGCGCTAATTAACTGGGCCAGGCTGGCCTCGGGGCCCCGGATGGTCCAGTGCTGCAGTGCTGCGTAGGCCCGCTCGTGGTCCGCCGTGTACCCGTTGGAGAAAGCGGCCACCTCCCTCTCGCTGGCATTGCACAGAAGCTGATAGATATCCTTCCACTGGCTTCCCACTTGGGCTGCTACAAGCTTCAGGATGTCAATACCTATACCAGACACAAAATAAAATAAAACACAAATACAGATATGTGAGGTCTTTACAGAAGGGCAATCTGTTTTAATGAACTTCAAGAAGCACGCTTTCCCATGGCTCTCGTCCATCAAAGGGATGCAGGGCCTCCTACTGCACATGCAGGCCATCCTGGAGACTAGTTAGGTACCCTCCTGCAAATGTCACTTCCAGAACGTGGAACCAGAGGAGCAACCTGGAAGAAAAATAAATCGCCCCTAAACAATATTTTGAAAGTCAAACCCAAACAAAGTACTCAGAGTGATTCCTTTATCGCTGCTAAAAACTGGAACCAAATAAACTAGAGACTCTCAGATGAAAAAAGTGGCGACTTTATAAAATCTAGGAAAGGTAAACCACAGGTTCAAACTGCAGTGGAGTTTGTCCAGCAGGGCCTGGGTAATGGGTGGTGAGGGTCTGGCTATGGTGTCTTGTGTATCAACTGATGAAATTCCCAACTGATCCAGCCCAATGGGGGCATTCCTTCAGAACTTCTAACTTCCCATGCTCTAAAATCCTATGCTCAAGAGGCAACTTTCTGATCTATTAGTCAGTCTCCTAAAGTTGACTTGCACAGTTATAATGAAGACAACAGCAAAATGACAACATACTAACACTAGCTATTATCTTCCAGGTATTATGTGAAGGCATTCGCTCATTAACATTCCAACTGCCCGGGTAAGAAAAAAAAAACAAAACAGAAAAGTCAGGCAACTTGCCCAATATCACAAAGGTAGGTGCGTTGGGTTTTGAACCCAACTCACTGGATAACGTTATAAATGGAGTCATTCTGGCTCATCAGTTACTTATAAACTCAATCAGCATGGGTCTGCAGTCCCCAGATCTGATGAACAGAGGGTGAAAATGCCAAAATCAAATCTTGGGATTTGACAACTCAGGATAAGCGCCTGGCACCGACCCTCTGTGAGGTGGGGTTTTCCCTGAGTGGCACACTTTGGTGTCTTCCTCTTTAAGGTACCGTCTCTCTGCAATTACGTATTGGCTTTTCCCAAATTTATCCAGGGAGTGTATATATAACCCCACAGTAAGGGCTCTGGTAGGTATCACAACAGGTGAATGAGTCTTCTGAATCAATACCGCCGTATCTTTGAATGAGGCCATACTCACAAACCCAGATACCAGAGTTATTATAGTTAACAACGTCTTGGCTAACTATAGCTAACAAAGAGGATACACAATGGAATACTATTCAGCCATAAAAAAGAATGAAATAGGGACTTCCCTGGTGGTGCAGTGGATAAGACTCCGAGCTCCCAGTGGAGGGGGTCCGGGTTTGATCCCTGGTTAAGGAACTAGATCCCCCATGCATGCCGCAACTAAGAGTTCACAAGACACAATTAAGGAGCTGGTGAGCCGTGACTAAGGAGCCTGAAAGCTGCAACTAAGGAGCCCGTCCACCGCAACTAAGACCCTGTGCAGCCGAATTAAAAAAAAAAAAGAATGAAATAGTGTTATTTGAGCAACATGGGTGGGCCTAGAGATTATCATACTAAGTGAAGTGAGACAGAGAAGACAAATACCATGTGATACCACTTATATGTGGAATCTAAAATATGACACAAATGAACTTATTTACAAAACAGAAACAGACTCACAGATGTGGAAAACAAACTTATGGTTACCAAAGGGGAAAGGGAGTGAGGGAGGAATAAATTAGGAGTTTTGGATTAGCAGACACAAACTACTATATATAAAATAGATAAACAACAATGTCCTACTGTATAGCACAGGGAACTATATTCAATATCTTATAATAAACTATAATGGAAAAGAATCTGAAAAAGAATATATATGTGTATAACTGAATCACTTTGCTATACACCAGAAACTAACACAACACTGTAAATCAACTACACTTCAATTTAAAAGGAAAGTTGAAAAAAAGTCTTTAAAACATTTACTACTCAAAAAAAAAACAAAACAGGGGGGTATTCCCTGGCGGTCCAATGGTTAGGACTCGGTGCTTCCACTGCAAGGAGTACGGGTTCGATCCCTGGTCGGGGAACTAAGATCCCACAGGCCACGGGGCGAGGCCAAAAAAAAAAAAAATGAAGTCAAGTTCCCAAGTGAAACTTGGGGAAGAAAGCAAAAGAAGAGAAGAGGAGCTTACTGTGATGGTTAATTGAATTTTTCAATTAACTAGAGGTTAGTTGGGCGGGAAAGAAAAAAACCTTTTTTGCTCCAATCAGTTATTGGGGAAAATATTTATAAAATGAGCTATCAACTTTTGCCTGAGAAAAGAGCAATAACAATTCCCGAAGTTTCCTTGTAAATGGAGGAATTTGTGGTTCCTCCATGGAAACCCTTCCTCTGCCACGCAATCCCATTGAAGCAGATGACTTGGAAAACTTGCGTGTACATCCTGAACCAACCCCCTGAAAATGGTTTCGGAAAGTAAGTTCTGGGTAGCAGGCTGCTTTCTTGTCAACTGTAAAAGTAGAATGCCACAGACTGAGACCCGACTGTACTTCCCACACTATTTTCCCCGGCAGTGTGAAATACACTTGAACCCGCTGCTTTTCAGTTTTCATAGCAATGTTTAGCCAGATACAGAGCTTCTGATTTCAAGCAAACAGACACCTCAAAAAACAACATATCTTATTTAAAACCCCACAGGTAACTTTCAGAAGCAAGCCAGCTCTTGGTGGTTGGTGTGGTCGATTCTTCCAAACACCAAAAGGTTTCTTAGCCCCCGAATCTTAATTTAGGTCAGGTTAACGAAGGCCCACAGTGTCTTACATGGAAACATGACTGTTTTCTTGTATGTGGGCCCTTTGCTCAAATCTTCGTAGTGCCAGTGACAGTGCGGCTTTGGGCAAACCACTAACTGTCACGCTCATTTCCTCATTTGTACAATGCAGATACTCAGTGTGGTCCCTGGGGATGAGCTGATTAACATTTTCTATAGAGTGGATTTATTTTTGGAAGTACCCCATCATTATAAATGTTCCATACACTGGGCACTACAACTTAAGACTAAATGCATTTCTGATGGAAACACACAGGCTTTATAGAGTAATTACAGCGTTTAAAAGGCTTACGCTTAACAATAGCTCCTTCTTCCAAAAGCCAGTATTTATACTTTTTTTCTGCCACAAAATTTTAAAAAAAAAAGGAAAACATGAAGAATGGGTGCAATGAGACTTTCCTTCAACTAAAATTGACTGGAGGCTAAATTTTAGGTCCACGAATCAGGTTTCACCTTATTCTTTTACTACGTAAACATGGAGTCAACTTTTGTGAACCAGCCTGGATCAACAAGGTTCCTCACCACGGGCCCCTCCCCCTTCGGAGCTGATAAATACAAAGACAACCACTACCTCCGGAGACCCCAGCCTCTCAGCCCAGCACAGGATCACAAACAGCAGGAGGAGGGAAGACCAGTCTGAACTAGCCCACGACTTTGGTGTCCCCTGCCCCCGACCCCACTATCGCCACCAAAGGGAAAAGAAACACCTGCGGAATATTTCCAGAGTATTTGTTGGGCAGCCACTGTGTGTGTTAACTTTGTTTGCTGGACTGAAAGCCCTTGGGAGATTTTCAGACAAAGAGTTTAGCACCAAGAAAATGAAGTCACACTGATGAAGTACAAAATCTGATGGGATCTGAAAGTGCTCTTCGTTTAGAAAACAAGTTTCAGGCGACACTAAACAATACAACTATAGAGCAAAGCAGTAGAATGATTAAACTAAATTGAGATAGCTACCGTTGGGGAGGGGGGGGGTACGGTAGCTGTCCCCTCCTGGATAGGTGCACAGAGGGGACTTCAAAGGTATTCCTGAGGTTCAATTTCCTAAGCTGGATGGTGGGGAAATGGGTCTTCTTTTTATTTTATTATTGTATTTGATATTTATGTTATTATTCCTTTTAAAGCTACATACATATATATAACACACATATATAGATATATTTGCATATACTTCATACCTATACATACTATGATGTGGGATACGTAATTTTTTTAATGTTTAATTTTATTGGTGAGGAATCTCAGGTAGAAAGGTTAGTGACTAGTTCAAGGTTGCCCAGCTAGTTAGTGGTACCTCTGTTGTGGTTAATAGGGAATATGGTATCGCAGAGGAACATTGCTATTCACTGGAATGATGCTCCTAGGGCACAGTCCACATATGAATGCACTCGGCATAGACCATGGTGTGTGTACTTCTTCCTGGCCTGTTATTACTGACCAAGCAGATGCCTGGAAAGTTTTTCTTTAGGGCTAGCAAGTGTAGCTCTTTCCTTTAAAACTATGGTACCCTTTTTTTTTTTTTTAAAAAAAAAAGGAAGTTTCAGCAAGCTTTTTCTGTACAGGGCAAGAATAAGTATTTTAGGCTTTGAGAACCATACAGTCTCTGTTGCAAGTTCTCAACTCTGTTGTTAGGTGACAGCGGCCATAAGCAGTACAAATGAGCCCACGTGCCAAAGTTCTCCAACCCCTGAAACTGTAGCAATTTAAAGAGACCACAGCTAGACTGTCAAACGGCAGAAAGATTTAGAAAAGCATTGTTAAAGAAACACAAACACACACAAAGCCCCCAAAATGAAAGTTCCTACCCCAATGATCAATCTCAATGTGAAATCCTAGTAAAATAGAGACCAAATCTCTGCGTGGCCCGGTGCCCTGGTCACCTGTCCATCAGCGTTCCGACAATTTTCATCTAGAATGGAGACAGTCACCATGTGTTGAATTAATCTAACTTGTTAAGCGTGATGCCAAAAATCTCTTTTTTCTTAGGTTGAAAAGAGGTTGACAACCGTCAACCCACAGAAGTGCTGATTGATAGGCAACGAGCTTAACTTCGCTTTTCTTGTGATGGCAGGTCCTGGAGCTCTGGAGAATGGCTGAAGTTTCCAAAGGAGTCATGACGCAGCCCAGCCCTATAAACCAGGGGCTGTACTTGCCAGGGACTGTGTAGGAGAAGGTGGTTCTGGCACCAGGGAAATGGCTTGTGACTT